TGAGAATACGATACTGTAGACTAAAGTTAGACACTAAAGCTATAGTCAATCTGTGGTTTCTTTCTTTTAAAATTATAATTTAGACTAAAATTTATGTTTCATGCTAATTTATTTAATAGGTTGACCTGTAATAAATAACCCAGGGAGTCCTGATCAACTCTGACTATGTGACAACATTATTGCTTTATTTTTTGTCTTTGCGTAGTCTTTCTCAGCAGCTGTGGCGCTCCTGCATAGCGATGCAGGAAACACGGGGAGAGAAGAAAATTATATGTAAAAGGAGAAAGATTTTCAAGAGTGTGACAAGGGAGATGCCTGAAGCAAAGTGGCAGGTAGTAAGATTGAAGCGTTAGTGAAAGAGAAATAGTGTGTTTGAATAAACCAGCGTATGGAGAGATTGAGGAAGGGGGCAGAATGAGACCGTAGATTGCAACAATCAGATTGCAAGCTAAAAGATATGTGTGAAGATTGAGAAAGATTGATTCGCGAAAGTGTATTGAGGTGAACTGAATTTTAATGTCTGCATTTGGTTCTAGTCCTCGTCTTACGTCAGTCTTTTCCTCGTTCACTCTCACTCTCTAAGGACACTGTGTCTGGTCAGAACTAACAATGTCCACAGAGCTGACCTGTGACACCTCCCCACTGGGGCCCCTGGGCTCCTGATTAGGACTTAGTACTGTGTTAAGCCAATAAAGAGGCAAGAAGAGCCGAAGACAAGCTCTTCTTTCTCTTTCTTTTTACTGGTCTCTTTTCACACACATTTACACTATTCTGTTTCTGTGTGTGTGTGGATGTAAAAGTATGACTCTGGAAATGTCACCCTGTCTTATGGCAATCACAAACACACAAATTCTGTCTCTCCACTCACTGCCTTAAGAAACAGTACATTTAAGGACTGAGAAATCCTTAGAAAATCTCAATATTTCAGGGCTAGATTATTTTTGAATTTGCATGTGTGCCTTTGCATGCATCAATTCGGTGTGTTTGTTATTTGGGCATTGGGCTAGTTTTACAAAAGCACAAACAGCATTCTGAGTGATTCAATGCTGAATGATCAACACGGCTGGTCAGTGACAAAGAGAAAGTGACGTGACATGTGGCCAAGTATGGTGACCCATACTCGGAATTAGTGCTCTGCATTTATCCCATCCAAAGTGCACACACACAGCAGTGAACACACACACACCGTGAACACACACCCGGAGCAGTGGGCAGCCATTTATGCTGCGT